ATTAAGTGTTAACGAGCAGTTGGACAGGTGTACCTAATAAAGTGGCCGGTGAGTGTATTTATAGACAGACAGACAGATTTCCAAATTAAAGAGAAGAAAATTGTATTATTTACTTAGTTTTGCAGTAGGCCACCACACACATGATTCCAACAATTAGCAGAGCTATGCAGATCCCTGTTATTGTTAAAATGCGCTTTTGATACAGCTCCTCGGTTTCTGAAAGAAAACAGAAAAAGACCTTATAGCAACACAATAAAACCTAATCACAAACACAGCTTTAAAGCCAAACAGAAAGAAAGCATTCAAAGTGATCTTTATAGAGACACGGGGAGCTGTTAATGATGCAGGAAGAAGGAGAGAAGAATAGGAGACATACTGTAATAGCTGGCCATTACATAGGTTTGGCAGCGATCACCAGTAAACTCACTTGGACACCTAAACATAAAAGACAAGAGACAGAAGAGACAAAAGGGCGTTAGTTACAAAAGATCTGAGTAAAACCCACAACAGTCATCACTGGTGTTAGAAGGACCGGCCAACAAGACCAAGAAGTCAAACTATATCATCTTTTAGTCATTCTCTGACCTTCGTGTTTTAGTTTGTCTGCTGTCATCCAGTGACAGATGGTCGGGGTCGGCTAATTTCCCCAACAGGTCGCTTTAATCCGTCTCTTTGCAACAGACTGAAATTTGCATGTACTTGTACAGCCACCGAGTCCAGACCTTCCCACTTACACATTCCTATATGTTTGAAATCACAGGGTTAGTCTGAATAGAGGAAACAGTATGTCGGACATGTTTGTCTGACTCTTGGAAACCAGCACAGCCCTTTGATGAGATGGGTTACAACATGGATGACGTGTGATGAGATGGGAAGTACATGCAAAATTCAGTACAGCGATCTGCAAAGGCAACAAACAACAGTCCCCACGTTGTCTGTATTACAGGTTACCAGGGAGACGGGGGTTTCTCCGTCATGTCTTGAGGAGAACATGACTTGGGTGAGACACCAGTAATGACGTGTGGGACTGAATACAGCTGTGTTCACATACGTTTTGGGTCTGAGACTTTCTTAAGCACAGCCTGTTCACATCGGTGCCCAGTGAATCCGGCCAAGCACCTGGGTGATGAATAGAAGGGAGAGGAGAAACACAATACCTATGTGTTACATACAAACCAGCATAAAAACACCAACAAACACGGCAGAGATCCAGGAGAATCATCTTTATCAGCAAAAACAAAAAGTTTTATTATGTTTTATGCTGGTGAAGATTCATCCAGGTCACAGTCATTCCAAAAAAGTAAAAAAAAACGATCCCCTTGACTTTGTTTCCAAGTCTGAAGCCGTTTCTCTTCCATCCAGGAAGCTTTTTCAGTTCAAAATGTCAGAAATAGCGTTGAGTTCCAGGTTTTACAGAGTGGACGAAAGCGAAGCCTTGTTTTGGCTTAGAAAACATGCAAATTGATCCTAATGAGAGGGTCTGCCCCTATGGAATGGGGGACATTTTGTTTCTTTCTTAGCCTGTAATACTGAAACCTGTCTATGTCTCTAGTTGAAAAAGCTTCCTGGATGGGAAGTGAAACGTCTTCAAACTGGAAACAAAGTCCAGCTGATTGTTTTTTAACTTTTTGGAAGTCATTCCGTTTTAACTATGTTGCAGTGGGCTACATTCACCCAAACCAGAAAATCCTGTTTTATGGACATACGAGTCCCCCTTCATTCCTTTGAAAATTCATCCATCCATTTTCTCCTGCTTAGTCCTCTAAGGGTCGCGGTGGGGCCGGTACCTATCTCTGGCATACGGGCGGCCAGACTGGACAGGATGCCAATCTATCACAGGGCAACAGAGAGACACAAAGACACACAACCATCCACACACACACTCACACCAGTCATGTTTTTGGTATGTGTGAGAAAGCCGGAGTACCCGGAGAGAACCCTCGCATGCACAAGGAGAACATGCAAACTCCATGCAGAAGGATCCCAGCCTGGGAATCAAACCCAGAACCTTCTAGCTGCAGGGCTACCCGCTACAACACGATGCTGCCCTTTGAAAATTCAGTACAAACAAAGACAATTAGTTTGTCCATTGAAGCTAAAAAAACAAAATTATTTAGTTTTGTGGTGGGAAAATGTATTTTATTTTATTTCATTTATTAGTTGATCCTATTTACTCACTATAAAAGTTTAACTCGGTCTGTTTCATCTGTAAGGCCACGCCATTCCCCTGCATGAGGCTGTTTGTAGACCAGGCATAGCTT